GGACTGTGGGAGCCGCGCCCGGGCCTCCCGGAGCCGGAGCAGCGATGAGCCGCGACCCGGACCGCGAGCGCCCGCTGGACGGTAACGACTCGCGGGCGCCGCGGCCTCTTAGCCCTGTTATAACCCGCCCCACGCGGGGTTTAAAGACCGCCCGGTGCCGGTGGATCTGGGGGACCAGGAGGAGGGTGGTTTATTTTCCTGCAAGGTGGCTGGTGTGGGTAGGAAGCCCCGCTTTTCCTGGATTTCTGCACCCTTTTTTTGCTCCTTTTCGGGTTATTTTGAGGATTAAAGAAGTCAACTTGGATAGAGCGCGGGGAGCCGCGCTCGGAACGCAGTGGGCTCTGGGTGGGCTTCTCAGTCAGACGCGTGACGGGTTTCAGTGCCCGGCACGCTGCCGCTGGTTCCCCAGGACATAGTGGGAGTCCCTTCCCTTTAAGAAAGATGATTTTTACTTCTGCTTTGAGACTTCCCAGAATCAGTCCCCCCTCGCCCCCACCCCGCCCTCCACCCCGCTCCTCCACAAACAGGCATTAGAAGAGGCTACCTGATCTTACAGAGTGAGTGATGCCCTGATGTACTTCGGATTGGAACTTGGGGGTGAGGGACCCGGGATGCTAGTTGTTTAAAAAAGGCATCCCGCAGCAGAATTCTCCAAACTGCCTCCAGAACTCGGGTGTCATTTAGCTCTGCTGTGAAATAATGGCTACATGATTCTGCGAGGGAAGCGTTTAAGATTGCTCGAACGTGTGTTGAAATACTCTGAACCTTTTTCCCCATCAGAATTCACCTATTTGCATGTTCGCTGAAGATTTCAAACTAGACCCCTTCCCTGCCTCCGGTTACCCGCTGGTTATGAAGCCCTGCTCTAAAAGTTCATTATTGTTGCTATCCAGACATTCACTAACTAGTTAGTTGTTGACCTTTTAGGAGTGCTCCTCCTGGAATAACTCCTGTTTGCAGCAATAACCCTTTTGGAATGTACTGAACACGACTTAATGAAGCTGCTGTTAAGTTGAAACTCTCTAGGGGCTGCAACTCAACAGGTGATCCAGGTGTACTGGCCAGAGTTCCCTGTGGATCAGTGATTTTCAGGGTGGGGAGTTTTGCACATTAGTTGGCAAGGCAAGAGTCACTGTGCTCCAAGAAACATTTCATTCCTTCCTTCCACAGTCCCAAGGAAAGACATCATTACCCTGGGTCCCCTTTTGAAAACGTTTATTTTTTTTAAGTTATATTGTTATTGTTTTCAGTAAAACAATAACATAAAAAACTGGCATTTTGTGGAACGTTTTGCAAAACTGTTACTTTTGTGTTTCTAAGGGCAGCACACTGTAATTTTTAAGACAAATGGTTATTTGAGGACTGATCGATTCATTAGACTATTGATTTTTTAAAATTCCTAATAATATGGCAGGCAAGACATAGGGCAAGAACAGTCAGGATAATTGCTTCAGACTGCCTTAGCTCTGCACTCTTGGTCTTGTTTTATTTTTAATCATAATTCCTGTTTTAAAGCCACAAACCCTTTAGAACTCTGCTAGAAACTTAAAAAAAAAAGTATCCAGTCTTCCTAAGTTAAACATATGTCCTTGTCACCAGGTATGTCTGTGGCTTGTGATGACTTCGACAGGTGCTGTATATGAATAGGGAAGTGCCAAGTTTAACCTGAAGTCTGAATTTTGGAGGATACCAAAAGGTTCAGGCTGCTGTCTGTCTGGGTATGCCTGAGCAGGTGACAAGGCGATAACATGTCTAATAACATCTAATTGTGCCAAATGTTTGCTATGACATCTTAAAAGAGTACAGGATACGTATCTGTCAGACTCAGTAAATTTCCAAGTATGTATAACAAGACTGTGGGAGGTGGCATCTGATGAGTATATTAAATGACGCTCTTGTGTTTAAAAAAGCGATTGAATATCTGTTACAGAATATACGTTATGGAAGAACACCATAGGGAAGCCTGTTGCTGACAAAGAATTCTTTTTTAATTCCATTTTTGTTTTGTCGGGTTTTTTTTTTTTTGGGTGGGGGTAATTCAGCTTATTTATTTATCTCACGGAGGTACTGGGAGTTGAACCCAGGACCTCCTGCACGCTAAGCACATGCTCTACCACTGAGCTCTACCCTCCCCCCTAAAGAATTCTCATTCCACTCTTCATGCTTTGATCCAGTTTGTAATCTGGCCGAAGTCCACCCAAGAGATATTTAGGCAATTAATTCTATCAGACTCAAATTTTAGTTCCACTAGAAATAAAGAATTCTTTGGACTCACATAACATTTTCCCCTATAGTTTGAAATAATAAGACAACCCTTCCCCATAATTCGGCTTGCAAAGTCATTGTTTTTATTTTATTCAGCTTTGATTCTTGTTGAAACCTTTAAAAATGGAAAAAAAAACAAGTTTTACTGGTAAAGAACAGAAACTTTTTTTCTGTGGAAAAGCTGACTTTCATATACTGTTGTAAGTCTGGCATGTTGTAATAAAATTGAAACCATGACATTCAGGAGCAGCGTTCCAGTGTAATTTTTTTTGGCCTCCTCTATATCTCTGTTTTCTTTCCCTCTCTAAACTTTTCACTTTTTATTTACTCCTTCCTATCATCATTTAAATGAACCCCATGGCAGGTAAAATCTATCACCAGTGGCTGATCCTTCATTTAGGGTAGGAAGGGCTTACATTTATTGGACACTGACCTGCACTGCTGAGCTGTAAGCACTATTTTCTCTACCCCTCACTAGCAAGTCAGTGGGAGGAGAGCTATTATGGTCTGCTTTTTTTTTCTTTTTTTTTTTGTAGAAAACTGAGGCTCTGAATGAGTGGCTGTCAGCTCTGAGTGTTCAGTCCAGGTGTCTAACCCCAGAGTCCACACCCCTAGCACCTACCACGGGGCCTGTGCTGCCGGCTGGGCTGCAATGTTGAACACCCACAGGTGACACACGGCAGCATCCTTTGCCTGCCCATTCAGGGGCCACAGGAAGAATGCTGGGGAGGCTCCTGGAAAGTGGCTCTAAGCTCACTGCAGTGACAGCAGCATCCTTCCCTCTTCCTATGGATGGGAAAGTTGGGAGGAAAGACTATTGATATTCAAAGGGATGAAAGTGGCAGCTCCCCCTGCCTCTCTGGCTAGGGTACTGACGGGTGCTTTGCCCCTAGGGCAGGAAGCCTCTGGGCACTAGGAAGAAAGGGCAGCTTGGCCTTTCTGAGGGAGAGGGCAGTGCCCCATGGGAGGGACACTCTCGATCAGCCCTTCTCTGAGCAGATTGACCAGGGCTCCGATCTTTCTCAGACTACAGCAGATAGGTCCACATTAGAAGGCAGTGTCCAGGGAGCAGGCAGGCCCTCAGCAGACCAGAGCTGTTCTCTGCGGGTAACTGTGGGAACAGAGGAAGGAGAAGAATGCATAGTGAATACTCTGGCCGTCAGCTGCTCTGACGTGTACCTCTGGATACGTGATTGAAACTCTGTGAGCCTGTTTCTTCATCTGTAAAGTAGGGTTAGAAACATCCGCTGTTCAGAGTCAGACTCACAGACTTAGAAAACAAAGTTAGGGTTACCAGGGGGGAAAGAAGATAGAAAGGCACAAAGTAGGAGTTTGGAATTTGCAGATACTAGTTACTATATATAAAAGAGATAAACAACAAGATCTACTGTATAGCATGGGGAACAATGTTCAATATCTTATAATAATCCATAATGAAAAGGAATATGAAAAGGAATATATGTATATAAACTTATAAATGAACCACTGTGGTATACACCAGAAATTAACACAACAATGTAAACCAACCATGCTTCAAGAAAATAAATAGATAAAATACAACCAGTAACACGAAATATACAGTGTCCAGTAGATAGCAGGCTCCCCCTAAACAAACTTATTATGTCCAGAAAATCGGATGCAGGGGTTAGTGGGGTAATTGGAACGTGTCAGCACTATGCAACTCCCCAGATACATAGAGTTAGGGTACCATCCATTCAACAGCATGACGATTGGGCACTGGCTACCTGCTGATACAGGCAGCCTATCAGATTTGTCAGCAGACACACAGCTATGTGTGTACTTTGGTTGCTGCTACTGTGTCTTGGCAACTTTGGCTTTCATTTTGGGGAAAGACTGAAGAGAAGTTAATTTATAAATTAAAAGAGAAAAAGGAGTTAGGAGTTTAGGTGACTTGTGGGGAAGTGATTTTCAGAGAGCAGTTTGGTCCACGCCACTATGGAGTTACCCTCACCATCGACTCTCAAGACTTTATTCTTGCTCACTGATTTTTCTAATGTGAGTACTTTGGTAAACCCTGTATTGTCTATATCGTAACACTTTTTAGAATGTTTTTTTGTAATTGTTTGTTTGTATCTCTTTTTCTTGCATAAAATCCATGAGGGCTGGCATCATATGTTTTCTATTTGCTGGATCCCAGCACCTAGCTAAGTGTCTGCACAGAGTAGGCACATAGATTCAACATATGTTTGTTGCATAAACAAATAAATGCATGAATGAACAGGAGAGTGATGGGAGGTAACAAGGCATGATTCCTGAAATCCTTTAGTCCTTGTTGCTTTTGCATTTAATTCTTGGATTCATATTCCCTTTTTCCTCCTCCAAGTTGTTTATAACAGTAAAAATTTGTACGTATTTACATGCCAAACAATAGGGTGTTATTTAAAACATGTAAATGCCCTTTCATTGGATGGCTTAAATTATGGTAAGCTGTAAAATGCGATGTGAAGGCATGCTGTTTTGGAAAATGATTAAGTGTTGCAAGAGGGTTTAGATGGAGGGATAACAGAGGATTAATAGGTGTTGCCTCTGGATGGATGGGATCATGGATATTAAAAAAAAAATTTTCCCGCTCATTCATGTTTCTGATCCTTATGTAATGAACTTGCTTTCTCTTATAAGGAGGAAATACAATATAAGAAATATGTATTATAAAACAATATCAAAAATCACTTACACTTCACTACCTAATCCCTTGTCACTGGACACTTCAATTGTCTTCTCAGCTAATTTTCCAAATTTGCCTTCCCAACTTGTTTTGAACATTTAAATAAGTTCTAGAATCTCCGGGTTACAAC